GTCGCTAAGTTACGTATAGATAAAGGAAAGTCATTCCAATAATAACATACAATAACAGTGGGGCAAAATTTCCTTATATTTATTCTGGAGAAACCGGGATTGAAGTGTTGCAGGGATGCTCTTCGAGTAACGTAGTTATGTTGCTCAGATACCAGAGATAAGGTGTGATTAGACGGTTTTTCATCAATTTGAATCAATTTCAGTAGTGTTAATTAACTCAATTGTAACTTTCTTTTCTATTTGTCTCATCTCTCAGTAACTTGTCCACCGGGATACTTCCTGGATACCTCTAATTGTCAGCCATGTGCAGTGGACCAATATCAACATCAAGAGGCCCAGACATCCTGTGTTCCATGTCCGTCTGGAACATCAACTTTAGGACGAGTGGCATCAAAAAGGCCTGAAGACTGTCGAGGTAACTTGGAACTGACATTTTAGGTCTATGATGGATTAGTTTTACCGGTTCTGTTTCTCAATAACTTAGCACCTTTTGAATTTCTAAATCTAATGTTGTTGAGCAAAGTCTACTAGCTACAATACGCTATGAAAAAAGCGTTTTAAATAATTTTAAGGCAGTGCAAGCCACTGTTGCTGATAATCAGCTGCAGCGATTTTCCTCATTTGACAAGTTGAACTGTTTTGGTCGTTTACAGATAACACTCCACCTTCCTTCAATAACACATGCCCGGGCAATAAGGTGTTCTACACCGGTAAATGTTCGTCTCATCGTACGTTGCGACGATGGAAAGAGCCAATGGCGACTGACAATTCTGGTCACGTGTCTATTAGCTACCCTGCCATTCGACCTCCTGTCAACCTTAGTATCGGCCTGTACAATGTACTGTATTCCGCGATAGATAACAGTGGAAATCAAGTTAATTGCAGTTTTGTAGTGCAGGTTGCAAGTGAGTCACGGCATTTGTTGTTATGAATAAAAGTAAATTATCAAAGTTGTTAACTAAAATGATCTTAATTAACAATTATCGTAATTATCACATTTATCGTAACTATTACATTTAGTGAATTATTTTCTCCATTTAATGGATTTTGTTTGAATGTGTTTTAGTCAGAGCCATGTGAGCCGATTAAGTAGCTTTAGAAACAGTTCATATTCCTGTATGCAATGTAAAACTGACCAGCCCAAACAATTCAGTAGTAAGAGCCGTGTAAGAGTCACCATAAAAGTAACATTAAATTGCAGTTTGATTCACTATGGCGCACTTAAGAATATTTTGTTCTTTCACAATGCCTGTAAAACAAACAGGAGCCAACAAAAAAAGTTTTGTNCCTCATTTGACAAGTTGAACTGTTTTGGTCGTTTACAGATAACACTCCACCTTCCTTCAATAACACATGCCCGGGCAATAAGGTGTTCTACACCGGTAAATGTTCGTCTCATCGTACGTTACGACGATGGAAAGAGCCAATGGCGACTGACAATTCTGGCCACGTGTCTATTAGCTACCCTGCCATTCGACCTCCTGTCAACCTTAGTATCGGCCTGTACAATGTATTGTATTCCGCGATAGACAACAGTGGAAATCAAGCTAATTGCACTTTTGTAGTGCAGGTTGCAAGTGAGTCACCGCATTTTTTGTTATGAATAAAAGTAAATTATCAAAATTGTTAACTAAAATGATCTTAATTAACAATTATCATAATTATCATAAATCCTAAAAAAAGCTATTACATTTAGTGAGTTATCTTCTCCATTTAATAGGTTTTGTTTGAATGTGTTTTAGTCAGAGCCATGTGAGCCGATTAAGTAGCTTTGGAAACAGTTCATATTCTTGTATGCGATGTAAAATTGACCAGCCCAAACAATTCAGTAGTAAGAGCCGTGTAAGGGTCACCATAAAAGTAACATTAAATTGCAGTTTGATTCACTGTGACGCACTTAAGAATATTTTGTTCTTTCGCAATGCCTGTAAAACACACAAGAGCCAAAAAAAAAAAAAAATGTTTTGTTTCGAGTTTTGTTATTTGGTCTAATCGTCGTAAAATGCTAGTTCGGATTTGGAAAGTCTCCTAATAGAGCTAGGACTTAAGTATGGTTTAAGAAGGAATCCTGCAGATTTTCGAGTAACAAGTGGACAAAAACATTGTACCGAGGTTATTTACATTGTATATCGGCAATTTCTATGCGGCTGTTTTAAGTATCGTCTCAAAAGAAATCATTTCTAACAACGCCAAATGTCGACAACAAATTTTGAAGTTCATATGAAACACACAAAAATACTGGAGAAATTAAATGAAATTGACAATGAAATTTTACCTATGTTCGCACAATTTCTCTTAACTTTGAATTTTATTTTCTCGAGTTCTTACAGGTAATTGGTTTTGGTGTTATTTCAGGAAACTATTTATATCTTTAGCTTTTAGAAAATGTAAAAAGGATAGTGATATACCGCAAATTATTCTGGTGTAAAGTTTTTAAATTGTTCACTAAAAACTGAAACTGCTCAATTTCCTATCTGAGAGGCTTTTGTTAAACATATATTAAAGGAAAACATGCTCATTCTTAGGAAAATCATGCCCAGTCCTCCAGCCACCAATTCATGGATCTATAGCCTCTCTTTCATGCGGATCCGCATTTGGTTCCCAGGCTTCCCTTGCTTGTAACACAGGATACCGAATGGCTGGATCTCCTTTGCTCTCTTGTAGACCAGATGGAACATGGTCAGGCAACGTGACTACATGTAACAGTAAGTATTTTTATTTTATACATATCGATGAAATATGATATTTCTTTTAGTTCCTAAAATTTGTTTTTTTTTTCGTCCTGCGCAGTGAAGATACCATTCTTTTATCTTTCAAATATAAGGATATCGATTTCGTTATGCTTGCAGCCATGTAAAAGTTTTCTTTCAACAGTAGTGAAATTGAATTTGACCTTTGTAACTCAGAATATTGCGTTTTCTTAAAAAATTAAAAGTACTTATGTCATCGTTGCCTTTTGTTAAAATCGTCAATAGACGGTAGCGCGCTGGACTGCAGATCGAGCCTTCTCCTGGAAAGAGACACTACCCTCACAGTGCCTCTTTTCACCCAGGCGTATAAATGGAAGCCGGTAAAATAAATGCCAGGAGTAACACTCAATGGAATTGCCGCGCTATGATAAACTTGGCTCCACGCTGACTTTTAGGCCTGTTTAGCACTTGTTAGATTTGCATAACACTAATGAAGAAACATTAACATCTTTTGTTTCTTGTGCTCATGCTTGTGCTTAATACTTTAGGGTTGAGATTGTCTCACAAGTGTGAAACAGGCTTTAAAGCTTTGGGAAAAGCAGCAACAATTTTATATTTACAGTATTAATATTTGTTTACAATTATTTTTTTTTCCTTTCCAATCAGTCGTCAAATGTCCAAGCATCGAAGCGCCATCTTATGGAATGGTATCTCCAAGTGCTTGCCAGATACCTTCTGGTGCACATTATAAAGCTGAGTGTTATTTTATGTGCAATGTGACGGTCGGTTATCAACTTGAGGGCGTACCAATGGTAACCTGCCTTGAAAGTGGATCGTGGAGCGATGATACCACAAAGACAATTTGTAAAGGTATGACAAAATAAGTGACAGCAGAGCCACTGACCCACACATTATTGCCATTTCCTGGTATTTTTAAATCAAGAAAACGAAATAATGTTTCCTAGTTTTAATCTCTGTGAAGTAAGCGAGTATGACTGTGGCAACATCCACAATCACAACAACGACAAAAAGAAAAAAAGAAAAAAAAAATAGTAGCAAACACGGATAATGTCCTGTCGCATGGCCTTGGCAGATCCAAGGATTAGTTTTCTATATGTTTCAAATACACGTTATCGACAACTGTGTTGAAATTCAATTTCTTCAATCGTTTTCTATCAAAAAAGGCTTACTCCCTCTCTTATTGTATCTCAGATCAATATGTATTTCAAATAAACTGTTTTATCAACAGATATCCAAGCTCCCAGCATCACGTGTCCATCTGATATGGAAAATATCCCCGCAAGGCCTGGCCAATCATATGCAATTGTGACTTGGCAGATACCAGTGCCCACCGACAACTCTAACGAGCCCCTGACGCTCACCGGTTTACGGCCTCCACAAAAGCTGGATGTTGGTAAAAGGTACATTACATACAAAGTGACCGACTCATCTGGTCTGAGCACAAGCTGTGCTTTTTTCATTCATGTCAAAGGTACATATTGCAATCATCTATGTGATATCAAACAGTAACATTCATGCAACATCATGATCATAATGATCATCATCATCGTCATAAACATCGTCATCATCATCGTTTAATTGCCTTTAAAAAAGCGGTATGTATTATGTGCAGTAATTTAGGTAGGACGATTAGACCTCTAGGAAAACAAACAAATAAACAAACAAACAAAAACAAACAAACAAACAAACAAAAACAAACAAAAAATCACGAGTGTGTGACTGGGACAATTCAGTATAATTAAATTAAAAAGTCAATCGTTTTTTTTTTTTTTTGTTAAAAATGCACAAGCATGTTGAACAAGTGTTCAAATTTTAGGACCTTGGTAGAGTGTCGTGAATTAGTTAATATTTTTACCGCAGTGATGCGATCGACAAAAAAATAGAAAAAAAAAATAATTAAATAAGAAAAATCAGAGATCCTGACGGGATTCAAACGTTCTCTCAATTACTGGTCGGGTGCTCCAACCATTGAGCTTAGAGAGACTCAAGGGCAGCCTGGCTATTTACCAAGGTCATAGGGCACAAGCATTCTGCTCACTTCTAGAATCAGCTTTGCCAAAAGCATTACATGTTTGATTATTAATGAAATATTCTGAACTCGCTGAATAAATGATTCAAATAAAATGATCATCTTGTAAGGAGACATTAAGCATTTTTTTTTTCAATAAAAAAAACAGATCTTGAGCCGCCTAGGATTGCAAACTGTCCCGATGACATCTATAAGACGTCTAAAGAGAAATGGACGAAGGTATTTTTTCCAGGAGTCATCATCACAGATAATGTTGGCGTTCACTTATTTAAAACAAGCAGACCAAATGGAAGCGAGTTCACATGGGGAGAACACAACATGACTTATACTGCATCAGATAAAGCAGGAAATACCGCCCAGTGCCATTTCCAAGTAATCATTGGTGGTATGTAAAGCCTTTTAGGGTAACAATATGTGTTTATATGTTTTTCCACAATTAATCATAATAATTACAATTTCCTCAAATGTGATTGGTGCACAAACTGCTCTATTTTGCTCTAACTAATCTGAAAAATTGTATTCGGACAGTGTAATCGAACAGTTGGCTGTAATCGGACACCTGTAATCGGACAGTTGCAGGAGCCAATCACTCTAAGTCCTCCCCACTAAATCCACCAATAACAACATTGATTTCATTCATTATAGTAACCAATTCAAGAGACTGACTTTGTAAAATTGTGGAGGTGACTGCTCCGGTGACTGTTTTGAAAGAAACTTAACAGCCATTTTGCAAGCTAGTCTCCGTAATTTTAATCATGATATTTAAAAAAGAGCTCTTTTCCAAATGAAACTTTTAATTTTGTGGGAAATTGTAATTGTTATGATCAATTGGTAACGGGACATCATGTTGTCCAATTCGATCAGTCTGTAATCATACTCGTGATTAACAAATCGGACTCCCGCTTCGCGGTCGTCCGATTTTGTTAACCACTCGTACGATTACAGACTGATCGAATTGGACTCCACTCAGTCCTATTATCATTATTAATCAGCACCTCTATGACCAGCTGCTACGTGGCTATCGTGTCAAAACACTGAAAACATAATGTGAAACTAGAATACGAAACATGGAGTTTTTTCCTATAAATTTGGATGTTCTTCGCGATATAGTAAAGATTTTCCGAGAGTGAAGTTTTATTCTGGCGAAAATTTCCTAGGAAGACCGAAACTTTTAAAACTGATATAAGTAAAAAGCAGAGAAAAACAAAATTGTTGAAAAATATGACGAGTTACTACAGCCATGTTGACTTCCCTTCGCTCCAGCTAAAACTTCTCCTGGGTCTCCAAGAACACGTCACATTTCAGTTGCGTTGGATGCAGTTCTAATGATACCAAACGTATTGAAGTCGCTTTCAATCTGGAGTTCCCACCTAAACAGTACAAAAGAAAACGCGGCAACCATATGAGTATTCCGACGAAGTCCAATCAAGTCATAATTGCAAAGTATTATTTGGTCCTAACAGTCGTTTTAAAATGAGGGTCGTTCGTAAACAGAAAAAATAATTATTGCTCTTTTTCTCCATGAAAAGCTAACCGGTGTCCAGATTTACCAACGCCCTTGAATGGAGCTAAAAGATGTGATCAGTCGTCCTGCATCCTGCACTGCCATGTTGGATATGACTTTGCTACCAATCAACCACAGTCATATATCTGTAGTCCTATCAAAGGGGCATGGGTGCCTTCAAGCAAAGTGCCAGATTGCTCTGGTAAGAATAAATAATGACAGTTTATTATTTAATAATCTGTAATTTATAACTCCCAGGGACCCGTGTGATACTCAGTCGCGCATAGAACATACATAAAA